AAACGATAGACGTTTTTATATCGTCATCCGATATATATCGTTATATCGAACACCCCTAATTAACATGTTAACTTGTGTTAGTTTAAATCATTGAAAGCTTGAGCTGTTGTGGGGAACACAAATCGTTTATGCGATTTGGCTTCTACTCTACATTCGCATGCAGTGCCATACTGTGTTCTTTGCTAGCTGTTGTGAACAAACTGAGTGCCTTTTCCTAGTCATTGATTTTGCATCTGATTTTACAAGTATCGCAGGTAAACAAATACAACCTCCACATACAAAGGGTGTGTGTAGTTTATTAGATGCAGTGCATTTTCTCTCTGTTTTATCATTTGTGTGACTTATGTCCAGCAGCTCTGAAACAGGCCCGAGATGCAGCTCACCTGTGGACTCAGAGCTCAGTGGATCAGACATCCCCAAACCAAACCAAAACCGTAAGTAGCCTCAGAATGACTGACTGTGAATATTTTGTAACACTTCACTCAAACATAAAAAAAACTACAGAAATGGTAAAAAGTCTCCACTGTATTTCTATTCAACTCCATATATCATGGTCCACAGGAAGGATATCTAAATGACAAGGCCTCTAACTTCTCTATCAGTCAGTTGGTTAACTTTATGGCAGGTAAGCTTTTCAGATAACCATGCATCAATTTTACAAACTGTTTCTTTCCTGTTAATCTCAACAGCGTGTGTGTGGAGTGTTTGCGTGGCAAGGAAAGCACCACTAGTGGCATCAGACAGCTCCTCCTCCAGCAGCTCCGACAGCGATGAGGAAGAAAGAAAGACAGAATCCACATCCAGTGAGACGGTCACCACAGAGACCATCACCACAGGTGCTGGCAAGGAGACCATCCGGCTCACCGTTGACGCCAAAAATGAGAGGGCAGTCTTCAGCAGGTGCACATTCTCTCACACAAATAGGGAGCTCCTGTTCTGTCTGGTCCAGTGTGCCAGGCTTTGATAAAGCCCTCCTTTCCCTTTGCTCTCCTGTACAATTTTGCTTCCCCTTCTCTGCTTTTTTTCTGATTATCCTCCTCCCCCTGTTTGTTCCCTCCTTTCTCATCTCCCCCTGACTCCAGAGTATTCAGACCTGCAGTCAGACGGTATGTTGTGCTTGAGGTCCTGTGCTCTGAAGTGTGGAATGCTTCCTGGAGTTGTGTTAAGGATTTAAGATGTGTTTTGCTTGTTGCCTTTAACAGGATGAGGAGTAATGATTCCTTATGGCATAATTCAGGCCAGGCCTAATTCATAAAAAAGAAAATCCACTAACTCCAACCTGGTGACTTGTAGAGTCTCTGTATTCTCTGTGATTCTCAAATATAACAGAAATTCACTGTGCATTTATAAAAGAAAAGATGGTTGACTATTTCTTACCTTACTTGTTTTATACAGTATAATGATGAGAGAAGAGTAGCATATTAGTGCTGATTGTAATGATGTGATATTTTGGTTTTATTTTTAATCATAACATTAGGGCTCGATATGATTTTTCATTCAGATAACCCTCACCACTAACAGTCTGTTGGATAGCATGCTATGAATAAAGGTTGCCACCTATCCAATTTATCAACATCCTAACAAACCAGTACATTAGCAAATTACTAACAGTGCACCAACGAGCATGCTGGAGTTAAAGTCCAATCTGAACTCAGTGGACAGCGGGGACAGAGGCCACAGATCAGAGCAGATGGAGACAATTTAGCAAGCAGCAGAAAGGAGCATCTACAGTACTCAGTTCAGCTGCCACTTGTTTTCTTAGCTAAAGCTGTAATTCTTGTTTTGTTTTGTTTTTTTCAGCGACGTGCCAGTGGAAGGGCTCGCTAACGATAAAGAAAGTGGCAAAGGTGAAAAAGGAAAGCAACATGGGAACAGTTCCAGCCCAGTTACTGCTGATTCGGCTAACCAGGCAGCTGCTGTTACACAGTAAGTTTGCATTTGTGTGTTTTGTATAGAGATGAATAGAGGGATGAGATCACCAAACACTGCATCAGTGATTCATCGCTGTCAAAGCACCTCTTTATGTGAGAGCTCTTTGACGAGTCACCGCACAACCTACGCACATTTCTGACCTCAAGAACAGAGGTGTAACCTATCATATCTAATTGGCTGCATTTCTTAGAAGCTTTAAGGAGTATTAAATCATGAATGTTTTATCTACGTCCAGGGCAGCCAAAAATAAACCATTTTACATCACTTATAGGACTGTTGTGGTGATTTACAATTCTAGAAATGGGAGATTTTTGGCCTCTTTGTTGAATAATTTAGTTTCTGTCATACAACAACATACAGCATCATTGCATAGGCTGTAGATGGATACTCTGTTGTAGTTAAGCAGTTTTTCTTTCTTTAGTAAAAGTTACTGAACCCCAAATTACAGTTGGAACAAATGAAAGTTTATGAAGTATGTAAATGGTACAAATTTTTCTTTTTAAAGATCTATTTTTTAGAGACACGTGTCACATGTGACACAAGTGCAATATAGATTACATGCTGAAGGAATATATTGTACACATGCAACCTGCTGAGCACTGAATAAATCCCAGTTGCAAAGTTATTACATGTATTCACCATGCGATGCAGAAAATATATAAATTAATTTAAATGTTTTAATTAAAAATTTGTATAATATATAAGCACAAGTTAAATTATACTTGGTTCTAATCTTTTGTAATGATCCCTTTGCACAGCTGGAAAATCAATTAATAGAATACAGGTTAGTTAAGAATACGTATTCAACAAATCAAATTTATTTCACTTTGATCTGGCAAAAAAACTACAGGGAGGCCATAAGAGGATGTGTGGAACAATGTAAGAACTGTTTGTAAGGTTATATTTGTAAAGGTTTATAATGTTCAGCTGCCATGTTAGAAACAAACAGCAGCACATATTGTAGAGTCCAAGGAATGGTGCATTTGTGATGGTCATGAATTCACAAGATTAAGATTTTTCTGCAGTTTTACGATTTAATTTTCTTTGCAGCCACAGTGCATATTATAGTCCATTTTCCTACTCTCTTGTCCATTTTTTTTTTATATTTTTTTATTAGATCATCTCTCCTTCCTTTAGGTGAAAATATGGGCTAGTGAACAAATAGACTGTACATAAAAGATGTACACACCCATCATGATATTACCTGTTGGTTTTGGATTTAAAGCCTTGGTGTTGTGCTAAGGTAATGATAACAAGCTGGATTTCCAAACTTGAATGGGCCAGTGTCGTTTGATATGCATAGCAACAGTAGCCACAAGGAAACCAACTCGTCTGAATTCTCTCTCTTTTTTTCTTTCTTTTTTTTAACTGACAGAGAGATGCAGTCCCCCGCTAATGGACCGGCCTAACGAAGTGTTGCAGGAACACACTTCATACCTGATCATTCAACACACAGCCACGCCACCTTTGCTTCCTCTTAGCAGTCCATCAATACCCTCGTTTGTGTCTAAAAGACATGTAAGTGAATGGAAGATCCTTAGTGCAGAGCTCGAGCAGTATTTATAATGGATACCAGAAATCAACACATGGGTACTAGTGATGTCTCTAACGCGCCTTCATGACATCATTATAAATGAACCGCTTCAAAAAGAATTGTGTGTTTTATAAAAACATTTCATTGTGCCAGGCACACCAAAGCCAAACTGTGTTACATACGAACTTTTTCAAGATGAATTTCTTTCCCGTTAAACTTGGAAATGTAAACACCTTTATCTGTCGGGATCTGTTGATGTGCCAGCTGCACTTTTAATGTTAAGAAAACACCCTATTCTGAAATTTGACATTTTATTAAATTAAGCACCGGGATTTCAGATTATTTGGGTCTGTCTGCTCTCCAGGTATAAATATGGTCCAGTGGATTTTTTTTCTTCTGTTTTCTAGGAGAGCATTTGACTGTTTACACTTTAGTAACAAAAAGCATTCAAATAATCAGCCAAGATTACAGACGCCAAGATGCTTGCAAAGCGCTAGCTAGCTGCCATTTTGTGTACAACATTTCAGTCTTCGTGCCGGGCAGACAGGTCATTATAGCAAATATGCGACTTATCTGATCATTTCTCAGTCAAGTAAGTTTTTATCTCCTTTGATCACATGACGCGCAAGTGCTCTCTATTTGTTAGTTTGGAGCATTGGATTTGGGGGCCTCGCGTGTGTCACTTCCTCCTCCTGAAAGATTCAAGTAGTTTAGGGGTACGTGTGTGCGCGTGTGTGTGTGTACTGTTGTGTCCATGTGTATAGACGTGTGTGCCGGCGTGTGTGTTTGAGCTCTGTCTGAGGTACAGAGTAAGTTTCTCAGGTCAAAGGAGAGGTATGCAGATAGAAAGAAAGCACACCTGTGTAACACACACGCAGACACACAGTGCCATACACACACAAGTGTACACAACCATATCTAGATGCAAAAAAAAAAAAACAAAGGAAAAAAATGGCAGCCCACATATAAGTTCATACCACCCTCAGAGCTGTTTAAATGTAATATTGTGAAATTTGAACCTGTATTAGGTTGTGGCTCTTCTTGGTAATCTGTAAACGTAATATAAATGTAAACAGTATATATATAAACATCATATCTATTTTTGGAATAAATCCAGTGTACGGCAAGGCGGTTGTTTTGCAGGTTGCGATGTGTGTATCGTATGTGTGTGGTACTGTCGAAATGAGGCAATAATGATGTCTGTGTTTCGGTTAATAGGCCAGCATCAGTTCATGTTTCTTTGCTACATGCTTCCTATGTAGTTTAGGAGTGTGCATGCTGTGAATACGAGTTGGTTGTCTACGGTACGTCTTCCATTTTGTTTACTTTGAGGATGATTCTTGTTAATGACAACTTGGGTCTTTTTTTTTCTTTATTTCCACCCTGTATCAATTTTAAACCCATTTTGCATAATTTAAATAGTCAAATTCGGGGGGGAAATTATGATAAACAATAAAATAGTCCATGTACTGCTTTTTGATCATATCGTTTGTGTACGCATGTGTTTCCACTGTAACAACGGTGATTAATTTAAACTGGATCTGAACAAATGTGTTTGTTAGAGCAATAATAAATCAACAGAAGCACATTAGGCACAGGTTTTTATAATCGGTAAATTAATGTTGCCTAATTTAGCTGCTCCATTTCCTGCTTTAACTTCATTTTGGATTTTCAAAAGACCGGTCAGACCAAAACGCTTAAATTTACTTGGCAGATTAGAGGTGCCCAGTGGAGTTTACTTACAAAGGAAATATTGTGACCTCAGGTGTCATTCACCAAAACCCATTGTTCTCTAAGAAACGTCTGGAGTGCATTTCCTTTTGCAATGCTAATTCATTGGTAGATATTTCAAATCCAGCATTGTTTACGTTCTTGCTTACTTGGTAGCAGTCTTGTTCTTCCTGTCGATCAGTGTAGTGTCTGCAGCCACTTGCAGGAATGTGTAACATTACTCACATTCTTGCACAAGTGGAGCAATGGCAAGACGTAGAAAAAGGTGCGATAGAACTGCTAGAGGCCGAGAATTCCCGGGGGTGAAACTTGAGTCGGTAATGAAAGTAAACATTAGTTGCAGCAACACCATCAGTGCTCACTGAGGTGGCACGCCATTAAGTTAGCTGTCTGATCTTTCCTGCTTCATCAAATCTATGCTTGTTATAAACAGTTAACCGGTTTAATCCAGTCTGGTCATAATCAGATTACATTAAATAACACAATACGTAAGAAAACGTGACCCAAGTTGTACTGAATTATCCTTTAAAATCTGTGTGTGCCAGACAGTCATCCTTTACGTCATCTTTCTCCTCGTCTCTCTCTTTCTCAGGGTAGGAGTCGAATTAAATTGCATTTAATACCTATCGAACGATTCTCTGAGATTGTTGTATTTATTTTAAAAGCACTTTTTCAAGAAGCACTTTTTGGTTTTTGGTTTTTTAATTTGGTGGCGCTAAGCGCCCCTACGTAATTCCCTCCCTCAGAGCGATGGGAATGTTTGACTTGACGAGTGAATCACGTAGACACTTTAGAATATCTTTTTGTTGTTTTTTTCTTCAATGCTTTCTGCCAAAGTGTGTCTTCCCACCAGTGTACAACTGGGTTTCATATCTGTGAAGTAGCCTCTTTTCTTGCAGTGGTCTTAGAGGTGTAGATTTATCTGAAGCAGCCTTTGTTTGATCCATTGCTCATGTTTTTTTTTTTTTCTTTGTGAATCATGTGATGGAGTTATTAGCTGGAGAAGAGAATGCCACAAGTCAAAGAAAGACTTTGAAGATTCGTCTTAGATCACAGCTCTTTCTTCCTCCTCTGCTTTTATCTGTTCACCGCTTTGAGCCGTTTGAAGTGAAACTGCACAGAGCTAGCACCGCTTCGTTGTCAGGGTTAAAAGAGGAAAAATAGGGCTGCGTTTGTCAGGGTTGTTCACATGGTCAGAATATGGCATCCCACCCGTCACTAAGCCTAAGCAGTGCTTCTGGCCTATACCATTTGTGTGTATGTGTATTTAATGCGTGTTTGTGTGCCCCCTTCAGTTTGAGTGTTTTAGCTACGGGTATGTTGTCACATTATGCATAATGGTACGTTGCATTCATCTCTAAGTGCCATTAAGTTTGCACATTAGCCTCGTTCACCTCTTTTTGGGCATTCGCTGTATTGCACAGTGTGTGCCCCGAACTTTATTGAGAAACAATGGGTGTGAAGTTGTTACTTACCAATTACTTATTATTTACACTGAGACCATTTCAAAGTTTTTTTTTCTCACATTATAGCTTATTATTATATTAGGGCATGTGTGTGCAGATGTGTGGGGGAGTGGTGGGAAAAACAGCCGTGTGGTTAAATGCCTTTTTTTTGTAAAGCGGACTGATGCTGGTGTCTTTGTTTTTGGGTTCTTTTTTTTCATTTAGAGTAATGTGTCTGTTACCTGTTGTCAATTTAGCTTGTACATTCAGATATGAACCTAATAAATATGTCAAAGATAAATACGCCTCTGTTTGTGTGATGCTTACTGTAAAACACACACACACCACACACAGAGAGAGAAAGAGTCAACAGGACATGGTCTTTGGAATATGTTTACCTTAAGGGCAGTTGAACAGGTGGATTATGTTGCGTCCCCGTCTCCCACACCTACAATCAGTGCTACACCCTCACAGTGTCTCCCCTGCTGCAAACATAAACCTGCCTGTCAGTTAGATGTCAGTGTGCTGCAGGCATCAAGTAAAGTCGGTTCACATAACAGCTGAGAAGGACCTGAAGAGCCTTCATTTGTGCTCATTCGCTTCACTTACATTTCAGTTTTTCAGCCTGTGGTCCTCTCTATATGTAGCTACCGTTTTACCCGTGGGTGTATGGCTTCATTCCTGAGCTTAGATGTTTGTCATACTAATCCTGGAGCACAGATACTGTTAAGTCTTAAGAGGTAAGACTCTTTTCTACCATTCTCCCTGCCTTCTTCCCTTCTTACTTACTTTTGCACCAGGGAAAAAAAACAAACACCTTTTTAGGTTTTGATCCACACCTGCCTGCTCTCTCTGCGCAGAGTGCATGAAGGAGAGTCTGTTTGCAGTGGGTGGAAAGGGGAAGAAGGCGGAGTTGTGTTTTTGTACTTTTAATGGGTTGTGGAGAAACCTGCCTGTCTGCTTGGAGCTGGGAGAGGAGGAGCCTGTGGGGTGTGGGACTTCAGACAAAGGAGACATAAACACACTGACACTGGATCACTGGAGCAAAAAAAGAGTAGGAGACGACTAAGGGAGACGATCCCTAACTCTTGGACTACTTTTTCGCTATATTTTGGAGAAAACAAACTTTATGTAAAGGAGATTTTTGAGGGGGGGGTGTGATACCTTGGATCGGTTTGTGAGCTGAGACATGTTTGTGTTGGAGCGGTGGTGGCCATATGTTGCCCAGACTGTGTAGAAGTGTGTGTGTTTGGGATGGAAAAGTGGAGCTGGCACGATCAACATTTCTGCTCTTAGCTTCACGCCATGGGGGGGTGCCATAGTTACCCCTCGGCTAAAGAAGCAGACGGGAAGACCCTTCAGCCCTCTGACATCAGCAGTGACAAATTGTAAGTTATCTCTTTTTCTCCTTGTTTTTTTTTAAATTGCATTTCTTTGTTTGTCCTGTCAATCTTTTACTACTTCTGTATTTTTGATAGAACAAACATTCATGTTAAAAAGAGGACAATACTTATATCTGTTAATGGTGTGTAAGAAATGTGACTAGAAAGCTGGCTGCACATGGTTTACTCAGGAATGTTCTCCAGATAAGACTGTGTGTGTGTGTGTGTGTGTGTGTGTGTGTGTGTGTGTGTGTGTGTGTGGTTACATATGCTGATGCATCAGTGACGGTGGATTCCTCTAACAGCGGGAACACATTATGAGCAGCAGTTAAAACTAATATGAGGAAAGGCACTGGGAAAATGTGTTTTATCTGAGTTACTAGGCAAATGTTTTGCCCCAGGTTGAATCTTTTACAGCCAGCTCGCTGTAGCGAAGAGAAACCCGCTCATGGACAAAGTAAAAGTGGACAGCTGGCCGAGTGCAGGAGAGCAGGGTCACAGAGGAGAGTGTTTACACAAAAAACACAACATGACAACTAGCTTTGGGTTCTTTGTTTTTGTGTGCTGACAACCTGTAGCCAAGAGAGGAGGTGACTGAGTTAATGTCAGTGAGCTGTAACGGAGCAGGATGTGAGCAGCTGAAGTTCCTGTGGACATTAGGAAAGTTTGTCATGGCTTGGCAAAGCTTTGCTCTACTGTACCTTTGCACAGCTAATGTTTACATTGATTTCTGACACTCTTCCTCCCTTTCTGACTGCTCTGACCTTTCACGTTTGACAAAAGACCTCCTGTTTAAACCTTTACACAAATGATCCCTGGCAGCCACTCTCTCTCACACACACTAACACATTTATACAGGGGGGAGTGAAACCCCATGGAGAGTACTGTGTTTTCCTTATCGCAGCAGGCAAGGTCATACTAAGTAAACCCTCAGCTGTTGCGTGTGTGTGTGTGCGTGTGTGTCGTGCGTGTGTGCGTGTGTGCGTGTGTGTGTGTGTGTGTGTGTGTGTGTGTGTGTGTGTGTGTGAGTGTGACAGCTGCCTGATCCACTACACTTTTAATATTGCAAAGTCTTGACTAAAAGTCTGAGTTAGCCTGCTCTGATCAGGAGCAACTATCCTGCATCCCTGCTTTGAATAAAGTCAAATTCTGCTGCCAGGTTTGACTCTCCATCACACTGTAAACATCATACATTCCCAGTATTCTCTATCTATATTGTCACACCTTCCTGATTAATAAGCCCTGTCTGTAGCTTATCGGTAGGTGCAGTATATAAACCGATGTAGGAAAAAGAGATGTTTTCCCAAAGAGGGTTGGCCTCAGCCCTCGGCTCTACATTATCCTGCACAATCTTGCTCAGTTATTTGCTTTCCAGCATTGACCGCTGCAGCAGTCTGCTTCATTAACAGTAATTACGCTGGCTCTGAATTGACTGCCTTCATTACATTAACTGCTGCTGTATTGGATGTTTAGGTCTGCAGTCACAGCAGTGCTCGTATGTTTCAATGTGTGTGTGTCAGCCAACACAGAGCAAGATGGATGAAAGAACTTAAAACATCTTATCTACTGAGTGCAGCAGCCGTCATTAATCCACTGACCCGTTGGTCGTTAGACACAGCGATATTTTTCGGTCTCCCACTCTTTCTCTTTCTGTGTCGGCTTCATTAACTCTGAACTGTCTTCTCAAGGGGGATTAATAACAATAACCAGGAAGCGCGTCCATATCTGCAGCAGCAGTATGTGTGTCAGCGGATCACACATGCAGACATGTATGCCCTCATAGCTCTGCCGCCTGGCGTCGACAAGGCAGAGTGGCTTGCCAGCAACAGTAAGTAGTAACAGATTTGTGTTTGGACTCATTTCTCTGTAGCTCTTTAACTCCCAACACTTTTCTTCTTTCTGCAAAAACAAAGAAGAAGACAGGACAGCAACATGCGCAAGATATAATGTTGCTGTGTTTATTTATTTTCTTTCCAGCTGTGGCATTTTTCAAGCATATAAACCTGTTCTCCAGTGCGCTATCAGAGTTCTGCACTCCCAGCACATGCCCAACTGCCTGTGGACCAGGCAACGCGTAAGTTACTCAGTATTATACTGCAAATTGTGGCACCGTATGCAGATACAAAAGCTGTTCTTGATGTATATTATAATATTATATTCATATTATATATGGGTAACCTTGTACACTATATCTGTTGCAGTCATTGGGGTAAACTGCAAGCAATCAGCATGTGCTGAAGTAAAATGTCCAAGCTCCTATTAGTCTTGTAAAAAAAGAAAAAATTATGTTTATGTGAATTGTTTTAAAAGTTAGTTTTTCACTTTTTCCCAACACTACTGCCAGCAAACGGCCTTTTTGCTAACAGCATTAGGAGAGCTTGCATGAGGTTGACCTAAATGTACTATAATCAGTCTTTAAGCTGAGCTCTGAGCAGCTTCTCAGTCTTTATCAGCCCAGGAGTGCCATCACAATATTTACCCTTTAAAAAACATCAAGTACGGATTCTGTTGTTTCCATGTTGTGTAAACTTTTAGTACGCTTTCGTCCTCAGGGTTTATGTTTGGACTGATGACCATGGCAGGAAGCTTAAGTGCTCTGCTCCGCTTTACTTTGACTACGCCATGTCATACATTCAGGACCTACTGACTGATGAAGACGTGTTCCCTACAAAAGCAGGTAGAGTGCATTTACATCGTGTGTTACCTAATTGCACGGCACGTTTCAGTTTCAGTTTCAGTTTTAAACTGTCATCTCTTCCTTGTTTCTCCAGGTGCAAAATTTCCGACAGGCTTCGTGTTTATGGTCCAGAAGGTGTTTCTGTTGTTGTTCAGGACAATGGCTCACATTTATTGGTCTCACTACACACAGGCCCAGCAGGTGGGTCTGCACCCGCACCTCAACACGCTTTTCATGCACCTGACGCTCTTCTGCCGGCACCATGAGCTGCTGGATCCAGAAGACACTGAGCCACTGCAGGACCTCATCACAGCTTTGGGACGACATGGGTGAACTTAAAGGGCAGCCGCAGATATTGTACAATCACATCATTGCACGCTTATTTATTTCTTAAATCTGATTGTCTCTCACCACTCTGGGCCAAATTTAAACGTATTCCCCAGTATAGATTTTTAAAGAAAGCTCTATAAGGAGAGCAATGCAAAGAAACAATGCTCCTGTTGTTCTGTAGAATTGGACTGAAGTGTATGACTATTGCATGCTTTCTTTTGTTGTTGTTGGGTTTTTGTTTTTTTTTTTGCTTTTTTAACATAATGGTGCACTATTTTACTTTGATAAGGTCAAGATCTTCAAGGTCACTTAACCAAACAAACCCAGTTTGTGCCATTTTTGTATTTTGTGCACCGTGCAAAAATGCTGCATCTGCATCTTCATGTATTTTAGAGTACTTTGTAATAAATATTTGTGAGCCATTATCTGTACAGTGGAACTGAAAAGCATGCATACTTTATTTTGGAGAAATTAGTGAATACAAAAAAGTGGGAAGAATTGGTTAAAGACAGGGAGGGACTTTGTGTTTGATCCTGAAGTGGGTGCTGGTGCTGTTTTATTTAGCATATTTTCAGGTCTTTGGTTTATAATCAGCGCCACCTGCTGCTAGTAAAGGAATCCAGCACGTATCACATTTTCCCTGCACCATCTGTAAATATTTGTTTACATACTGGATTTATGATTAAACTGACTTATGAGAGTTAAATGGTGGTTTTTCTGTTTTAATGTAAGGGTGTTGACAAAACATCTGGCTGCACTGGTTCTCTCATTTCAGATGTGAACGCCGTTTGAGGCCCACAAAGCTAAGGGATCACATACTGTAAACACTGAATTGTATGAATATTTTTGTTTCTTTTCAGAGTTGTCTTTTTTCTTTTTAGTGCTGCAAAACAAATAGAAAATGTGCCTCTTCAACATACAAACTCTACTGTACATTCTTCTTGGTTAACAGCGTTGTTTCTGGGAAGTGTCAGGCCACTCGAGCCACACTGCATTAAATGAGCCTAACGGGCCCTGTGCCATATGCAGTCTTGATCAAAAGTTTAAGTTTAAAAATAGCGAAAAATCATATTTTGCATATTTGTATCTTAACATGGTTCCAGGTAGAGTTTCAACATGCAACAAGAAAAAATAGGAGTGAGACAAAACATTTTTTTTAAGCATGCAATTTATTGAAAACAAAGCTTAAACTGAATCAAGCTCTTTGATTTCTGATTTGGGGGAGTTTACAGGTTTTTTTTTTTAAGGTGTGGTCTTAAACTTTTGATCAGCCGTAAAAGTTCTAAACATTAACTCAGTAATGAGTAGCTCCACCGTTAATGTTGATCACTTCAAAAAATTGTTGCGGCATGCTTGATGCAAGCGTTTCCATGAGGTAAGTGGGAACATTTTTCCAAGTGGTGAAGAGAGCCGCAAGAAGGGCATCTACTGTCTGGAACTGTTGCCCATTTTTGTAAACTTCCCTAGCCATCCATCCCCAAAGGTTCACAGGGAACATGCAGGATGGTCCAAAAGAGTGATGTTATTGTCCTGGAAGAAGTCCCTTGTCCTGCGGGCATTGTGTACTGTAGCATTGTCCTGTTGAAAAACCTAGTTGTTACCACACAGACCATGGCCCTGTCATGAGGGATGCTTTCTGCAACATCTGGACAAACTCAGCGCCCGTTTGATGCCCCTGCACCACCTGAAGCTCCTACTATTACTAATTATCCTTACGTATAATTAGTAATTTAAAAATGATGTGCTTACCCCTGATGGCATATATGTCAGCTATGCTTCCATTAAACAATAAGCTCTCACCTCACTGCCCCCCTCTTCTATTTATTAACACTATTTATTTACATATTTCTATTTTTACCCGATTGTATATTTGTACATTTTATATATTTTTTCTCTAAATACTGTTCATATGTATATAGTGCTGCAGAAACTCTGCACCCCCCACCACGTTTGCACCGAGTAGGAGATGCTCTGTATGTCTGTATAGTGACAATAAAGGTATTCTATTCTATTCTGTAGCTTCCAGGTCATATGAAAATCTGTTTTCATCTCTTTTTCTCGCATCTCATGCCCCAGATACAGACATAATCAGGATATATTATTGCTTGGCTATTTTTATTTAAAACATTTTTCCTTTGCCCAATATAAGCATGTAGTCCTATATTTCTCCACAAAGAGGCAGCAAAAACCCCTACATTTTACCGACAGACTTAAAAATACAAAGAAATTTGAAAAATGATTAACCTAAAAGAAATTTATTTATTCATTTCATAACTTCATTACTGAACAACACTGTTGCAAAAAATAATTGATCTCTCATTTCAACTGCAAATTCTGTTCAACTTAAAATGAAAACATGCCTCTTTCATTATACAGGGTGGGCCATTTATATGGATACACCGTAATAACATGGGAATGGTTGGTGATATTAAAGTCCTGTTTGTGGCACATTAGTATATGTGAGGGGGCAAACTCCTCAAGATGGGTGGTGACTATGGTGGCCATTTAGAAGTCGGCCATCTTGGATACAACTTTTGTTTTTTCAATAGGAAGAGGGCCATGTGACACATCAAACTTATTGGTAATGTCACAAGAAAAACAATGGTGTGCTTGGTTTCAACGTAACTTTATTCTTTCATGAGTTATTTACCAACATATTAGTACAGCACATCTTGTGGTCACACCCACCCTTAAAAATAAACGTTTATTCAGCACATAAGCAAGCCTTATATGGAGTGCTGCAGATGCATTAAAATACTTACGACTGACTTACTTGGGACGTAAACTGAGGAGGAGAGACAGGCCGTTTGGCCTACATACTTCAGACACCCTTAGTACTCGTGTTTCAGACCAAATAAAGGGTTTTTGTTTTTAAATCTTTATCTTGTTTGATTGTAGTGATATATATATGACATTTAGACACATAAAAACTTGCAAATGTAGACACAAAAGCCTTGGTGGAAGTTCCTTCCATGATTTTTTCTGTGATGAACCTACTGTGTGCCATAGTTTTGTGGTAATCATTCCACAGTGAAAAGAGAGCTCAACAGAAAATGGAAGTTCTATATTGCAAGTGTGTATGCGATGTGATTTCTGATTGATTTGAGTTGGATTACAGCTCATAACTGTAGCCAGATGGCTGATTTCCACTCAGATTTCAACCTGAGGTGTTCAGCAGACACAAAAGACTGAAACTGAAACCCTTCACAGAGGAGGCAGGATAAGTCTGGATACATGCACACACTCCCTCACACACGCATACACACAAAGGTTTGTTCTTTGGGTAGATAGGAGATGTGTTAATGCACATGTTGGACTGAGGTAAGGCTCACCGTATTGGAAACTGAGCTTACAAGGTAATACTGCAAACTGCTGAGTCACAGACAAGCACAGCCATGGCGCTTTAATTAAGACCTGAAGCCACCTCCACATACAGAGCATTCTTTTAATCAGGTTCAGACTCTGAGCTGCTCATCTGTGTCCTCCTTCACAGTAAAGAAGAGTTGTTCTTTTACAAGAAAACTGAAGGGAACAGTATCTGACAGCCTCTGGCCAACACAGAGACTGATTCTCTCTAGTTTTCCTTACTTTTTTGAACTTTCATAATCAGGGGATAACATAACAGTAGCCAATCTGTCTTACATGATGTTAATTTGAACATAAAAACATTGGGTTTGCATGCGTTTAACTGGCTTGTGCATCATGTCACAGCTGTTCAGATTAACTCCATGCGAGAGTTCTGACCCCCATGTGGGAAACATGTGGGTACAATTTGCACAATGTCATCTCTTTACAGGTCAAAAATATGAGCAGCCATAAAGCCAGGCACTGGGGTGCAATATGAGTTCATATACTGCTGTTGTACTCAGGTTTCTTCAACAAAACACATCTTTAATGGAGGTGGTGGAGGTGTCATTTTTCAGGCAATGTTTTTTTTTCTCCTTAGATTGGACCATATTCGGCTGTAAAGACAAATGTCAGTTTTTGTTGATAACTTTATAAATGTCACAATAACCTGCTCTACACTGCAGGGAGAGTGATTTAAATTGGCATGTTGGGATAAAAACACTCACTAACCACTTTATTAGGTATGTCTTGCTAGTATCTGTTTAGACCCCCTTTTGCTTTTAGACCTACCTTTGTTCTTCGTGGCACAAGATTCAAGAAGGTGCTGGAAACATTCCTCTGAGATTTTGGTCTATATTAACACGACAGCATCACACAGTTGCTGCAGACTTGTTGGCTGAGACTCTCCTATTCGACCACAGGTCAAAGGTGCTCTATTAGATTGCAATCTGGTGACTTTGAAGGTCATCTGAGTACAGTCAACTTATTGTCATGTTCAAGAAACCAGTTTGAGATGATGTGAGATTTGTGGCATGGCACGCTATCCTGATGGAAACAGCCAGAAGATGGGTTCCCTCTGGACACGAAGGGATAAACATAGTCCGCAGCAATACACAGGCAGGCTGTGGGGTTTAAATCATCCTCAGTTGGTGCTAAGAGACCCAAAGTGTACCATTACCATTATGCCATATTCTAATACTACAATCCAAATATTGCAGCAGAAATCCGGTTACATTTGAAGTATAGTCTCAGATTTCTGTTCTTATTTGACAGAAGTAAGTTGCTTCCAGTAGTCTTCTGCTGCTGCCGGCAGTCAGCTTCAAGGTTCAACATGACATATTTTTCTGCAAACTTTGGTAGAAATGAGTGGTTGTTTGAATTACAGCTCAAGCCAGTCTGGCCATTCTCCTCTGACCTCTCCCAGCAGTGAGGCATCTTCACCCAGAGAACTGGGCTCACTGGAGATTTTTTGCTTTTTTGAACCATGCTCTATAAATCAGCATTTTCTGGAATACTCAAAACAACAATGCCACTTTCTAAGTCACTTAAAATCAACTTTCTTCTGCATTCTGATTCTCATTTTGAACTTCAGCAGGTCATCTTGACCACATCCACTTGCCTGTGTATCTAATAAAGTTACATGCCACATGCTTACAGTAACAAAGTTTTTATTGTATGTATACCAGAGGTGAGCAGTTAATTTTCCCAAGGGGTCACATCTGCCAGTTTTTCCCATTTCATCCCAAGCGTGTGGTTACCTCCATGAACAAATATTGTTCCTTGCAATCTCAAACACTTTAGTTTTCCCATCCATAAAGATGAGTAACTTGGCTGTGTCACAGACATCACGTCCAGTTCAAAGTGTCCACTTTGTCAGCGTAAGTTGCAGATTTCCCACAGTGTCCTTGATCAGTCTTGTTATGCTTCGCCTGGATAGAGACACATTCTCAAATGCTTCTTTTTTTCTCATGGGCATAATAACAGTTCACCAAATAAACTTCCCATCTGAGAATAGTTTACCTTTGTTACTGCTATTTGTGCAATTTTATGGGAAAAGACAAAGCTGGTCTTGACTGCTTCTTCCTTGGATGTGTAATGCTTGGTAAAAAAAAAAGTTCTTCTGTCTTCACATATTAGTTTGCGCTCTGCATCATTCAAGTTCTTGTATTTTTATGTAGGTGCTTAGTCTCATAATGGCAATTCAAACTGTAATCCTTCAACATAGCAATCTTCTCACCACAAACTAAGCACACTGCTTTATCTCTAACACCATCTCTTGTTCAAAACGCTACATTCTGCATCAATCTGTACTCACATAGCAAGCAGGTCTGGCCCGGATCTGGTATCAAGCCGGCACTG